CACACACACACACACACAGGTACGGATATGCACGCCAACGCTCACACACAAACATAAATTACAAATCGCACACGCAGAAGAAGTGAACATGCAAGTCTGAAAAAAATTAGTATAATACACACTTACTGTGTAGTCAGTTAAGCAGTTTAGAAGAGGAAGTGTTAATGTGTGTGTGGGTTTGTTTTACTATATTTGTGGGGTCCGACAGCTTTGTGGGGACCAAAATGGATTAATGGTACATTGTGTTAACATTTAGGTGGATCAGTGGCAGAACTGGTTTTAATATTCATAGGTATGTTTGCATTTAGTTTACAAAACACCTGAAATAAGTAGCGTTGTGTAAGAATGAACCGTTTTTATCTACAGAGGCTGTGGGTGGCCATGTTTCTACAGTAGCCGAGAACAGACAACCAAAACTGGCTCTAGATAGGAGTATTTGTGTTTTTTGCATGTTTTCTCACCACCTTAGTTTCTCCTTCAAGCTTGAAGGGAAGGGTGAAAGCGAGGGAGTTGCAATCTTTGCTGCCAGATGCCACTAAATCCTACACACTGGACCTTTAAGACTTGTTTTTAAATATAGAAACACAAGGGTAGGATGTGTGTGTGTCGTGTGTGTGTGTTGTGTGTGTGTGTGTGTGTGTGTGTGTGTGCGTGGCGAGTGGGGGGTTCAGGCATAGCAGGACTAATTGGTGCAGCTGCATGGGTGTATGCTCACTAACAGACCCATGAGAGCAGAATAACCTCCACCGATTCCCCTCTCCCTCCCCTCTCTGGGTTTACTCCCTCACAGCCACTGCCTTCCTCAAAACCAGGCAGGAGGATAAAAGAAATAGGATGTAAAAAAAAAAAAAGAAAAGCCGCAAAAGAAAAAAAAAAAAAAAACAACAAAACATCTGCAGTCTTACTTCTTCCTTTTTGCTTTTTTTGGTTTTGAGGTCGGGTTGTAGCGGGAGGGAGGGAAAAGGGAGAGATGCTGAGAGGTGAAGGATCAGCCATCATATCCCTCATGCCTTAGGACAGCCACGCTTTTAATAGTTCAGATCAGGGATGTGAGGGTGAGTCAGTCAAAGAGACAAACACACACTGAATGGAGACGCACACACATGACCCTCCGTTCTCTCTTGATAAACACACACACACAGCTTGAGGGAGGGTGAGAGATAGAAAGGCCAACATCAGCTCTGGACACTCAGCTTTAGTGTCAGCAAGCAAAAAAGACATTTAAATTAATATATTAATACAAACAGGGCTGCGTTATGTAGCAACATACATTCATAAGTAGAATATGAAAACGTAATAAATGATTTATAATGCGCTGTAATGTAGTGTGTAATTAAAACAGGAAGAATCTGTAACTGGTGTGTAAACAGTTAATTATTAGACAATAATACATAATGCAGTTGTATTCAAATAACATACTGTATGTACTGTATGAAATATTAAGTATAATAAATTGATATAATGGGATATTTATTTATTTATAAATAACTCAACAACTGAGTCAAGTCCAGAGGTCAAGAATCATTCAAACATTTTTAACCTGCCTGTTGTTCAAGTGTTTGCAATAGAGGGCTGAACGATAAGATAAAAGAAAATCATATCGATTATTTTGATTGAAGATGGGAATGATCTTTTTTGCATTGCAATTTTAATTCTGACTGGGAAAAAAATATTTAAAACCCACAATGATGTGATATTTATTGTGGTCTGTACCAACAAACATCAGGGCGTCTCTGCAGCACTACAGAACTTCCTTATAATGCTGATTTGTCACATTTTATCTTTATCATAAGACTGCAGCTTCTGCGAGTTAGATATTGCACTTGGCCATACTCATATACTGTGATTTCAATAATATTTTGATTAATTGAGCAGCCCTAGTATGTAATCATAAATCATTAGATATGATTGCAGCAATTTTACACTGTGGTACCACTCGTTTATCAACTGTTTATACAGAAGTTATGTTTAGGAGCTGAGTTTAGTGTTAAAATGCAGATCAAAAATCAACAAAAGCTAAAAACTGAAGGACTGAAAAGATGCAAAAATGCAAATGCAGATCAAAATGTGTCAACTTCTAACAGACAAGTGAACAAAACGAGAGCTTCCTGTGCTATGAAAAGCTTCTAACATGACCCTTTTTTTTATTGTTTTTCAAATTAGGCTTCTCATCCGACAGAAGTTCTTCTCCTAATTGGGTCCCTGGGTAAGAGAAATATACACCGGAGGCTTCTCCGTCTACCTAAACCCCTCGACAGACAGAGAGTGATAACTACAGGCTGAGAACGAAAGATAACTTAGAGGGGGAGGAAGAGGAAACAATCTGAGACGTAGAGAGAAAACATTCGAGGATGTGAACGTATTAAAGGAGTTGACATGTTGATGTTTTTATGATTCACTCATATTTCACTCAGGAACATTTTTTACTCGACCATAAATGCATTTAACTCGCAGAAACGGGCTCCAGCGTCACGTCTACCGCCGGCCCTAAAGCTTCACTGAACCCAGCCTCAACTACACCCAGCCACAGGTGTGCTGTTAGTCTGTGTCACACCCCCCCCCCTCCTCCCATCCTCCCCCTCTCTGTTCCACTGCTTCAACAGGAAGTACCACCGCCCCCCACAACCACCGCCACCACCCCTCCACCTTTAACAGCCTCACCACACATCCATCTCCTTCCTCTCCTTTCTTTCTCTCAAAAAATAAACCAAAAAATAAACAACCGAAGTGCTAATGGAAAAAAGAATGTTCACTTCTGCCAAAGCACCGACGATTGGGCGGCAAAAGGCAGGACAGCAGGCAGCCATCGGCGACAGATGTCCCCCCCTCCCTCCCTTGAATGGGAAACATCCCTCCCACCCCTTACTCAGCTGCTACGCTCAAAGCCACATTCTGGCCATCAGCCCGTGCCTCATGACCTCTTAAAACTTAAAAGCAAATACACTGAAGACAGCCAGAGACAGAGCTGTGCTTGTTTGAGTTTAATTTGTATATGCTGCATCTTGCTGCTGGAAGACAGACGAGAACAGGACAGACACGACAGAAGAAGCCATGGTGTCGAAGGTCAGACCCTGAAGCCCCGCTGAGCGAGCCTCAAAACGAGGCCGGTGAAGCACGGGAGGAGAAAGCGGAGCCAAGCAAAAGACTTGCCAGACATATTAGATCGCCCATATTAAAGAACTAGTTTAACATTTTGGTAAATATCTCTCATACTGTCTGGTAAATAGGGAACAGAGAAAATATAACAGGTAGGAGCCGTTAGCTTAGCCATAACAACTTGAAAAAATGAAACTTAGCCTGGCACTCTGACCAAAGGTAACAAAATCCACCTACTAGTCCTCTAAAAGGCGGGGGCGAGGGGGGGCCAGCAAAAATACACATGTTTGAGTAAATTTACAAGCAGAAAAGATGTTCCATATATCCAGAAGTCAATTCTTAAAAAAATAAGCATCCTTCAACGCCAAGAAATGTTCGAAACTGACTGCATAATAGCTATCAATCGTCAAAGACACATCTAGCACTCAGAGCAGGAGAGAGTGAGCTTGACAGACACCCTTGCATGTACTAAGAAACTTTATATTTGTTTATTGTATCCAGAATTTATTAAACATGTAATCTGTGTCTACTTTGTACTCTGTAAAGCAATTAAACCCACAGAGCTTGATAATTGGGTTAAATAGAATCAATATTACCTCAGGTCTGTATTTAGACAAAGGAAGAGATCTTGCTAGTTAGTTAGCTGTTCAATATTACATTAGGTGGAGAGATAGAACAACAGAGTCTTGGGAGAAGAATAAGCTAATTCATCAAAGCAGCAAACCATTACTTGCAGCTGGCTGTGTCTGCAGATCTCTTTGAGGTTAAACGTTGTTGCAAAAATCAGGTATCGCGTCTCGTCTTCCTTCTTACAGCAGAGTGTTAGCCCCTAAGTGACACCAATTAAACAATGAAACGCGACCAGGGTCACAAGATGCATCATACACAGGTTGTCTGGTTAGCGTTTTATCTGAAGGGGTACTGCAGCGCATTTAGCACTACACGTTGCCACAAAGGTTGGAAAGATTCAAAAGAAGAGAAATCAGGAGCTGGCAGAGGACGATAATATCCTGACTATAGTTTTGCTGGTTAGATATGCCAAGCATCATATATTTGGTAATAACTGTGTTTTGGACAAAATTTTGTTTCTACATCAATCTGGACTAAAACAAATGTTTACCTCAGACTCTCAACCACTTATATAGATGGTAAATTTCACTATGTTCTGATATTGTATTGACGTAGAATTACTGGCTAAATTAATCAAAAATAAGATGAGAAATAAGATAACGTATAGATAG